TCTATCTATCTATCTATCTATCTATCTATCTATCTATCTATCTATCTGATATATTGAAAAGGCCATTTGTTGTTCATTATGTCAAAATATGTAGATGCCCTCACAGGCTCTTTATATACTGTATATGTTGGTGTAATAAAAAAGTAAAAGTACAATAAATGAGAGATAGCATTTGTCCCTTGGGTTGAAGATTATCAAGAATCTGTGTCCCCATGTTAGTCCTGCACCTTAATCACGTCCCTGTAGAAAACACCTCTTTCAGGATACCTCATGGAAATAGGGAAGTTGTGGCATTTGTGTGATTGCTCCATCACACAAGATTCGTCACTGGTGCCCACGGAGATGCATGGACCAGTCTAAGTGGATGGCTACAGCAGAAGAAACAGGAGCTGGTCATCTAATCTCGGTCCCAAAGGTTGTTGTGCAAAAGCAATGGGACTTTCTCGGTCTTTTTCCTTGGAAATATTTCACGTCTTATCCAAGAAGCTTCTTCAGTTCAGCTTCTTGGATGAGAAGTGAAATGTTTTCAAGGCAAAAGAAACCAAGAAAGTCCTGTTGTCTTTTGGAAAAAGCACTTTTGGGACAACCATGAACTACATCAGTGGCCCCCAACCTTTTTTGTGCCACAGCCCGGTACCGGCATCACAAAATGATCCATGGCCCGGTACCGGCATCAGCACACATGGCAAGGCGAGCCGAGCGACCGGCCAGCCAGCCGTCCCCCGCTTCTCCCCGCCACTTTCAACTCCTCCTTTGTACCTTTGTCGATGGGCTTCGGGACAGCTCCGGGATGGTCGCTCGGCTCGCCTTGCCTTGGGTGCTGAAAGAATCCTCGTGCCTTAGTTTTGTTCGAAGCCGCCCACCACCCCTTCGATGAAACTAAGGCGTGAGGATTCCTTCAGGACCCAAATGCTGCTTTCCAACCGGAAAAGCTCACTGGAAGCACTTTCTCATCAAAACAAGATGGCGGCACCCAGCAAACCGGCGGCCCGGTAGAAAATGTTCCACGGACCGGTACCGGTCCGGGGCCCAGTGGTTGGGGACCCCTGAACTACATGACGGAGAATCTCCACGGACATCTGATCTCTGCTTTATTTCCCAGGCATTGCCTTGCAAAGGGAAAGCCATACATCTTTAAGGAACTCACTTTCTTTTCTTTTTCCTGCTGCCCCAGTTTTTTTTTAAAGGTTTCCTTTTACTTAGCTTACTGTGTACTCCCAATTATGCACTCTGCCTGTGGACAGAAGGTCATATGAGCAAGGTAAATAAGTAAGATCCTTACAGATTCCTGCATGGGATGACTTAAGGGTTTATCAAGCGCTGCCATGTTGCTGGTCATATCCGGTGGATGTGACAACTGGGGACCATGCATGAAGTCATTCATAGATGTCCCACCAGGATTCCCATGGGGAAAATCAAAATTGCTGTGGCCTTGGTAACTGTTACCTAAACAGTAAAGAAAAGTAAAGTAAGAACAGTAAAGTTGGAATCAAAATCAAACCAATGAGCCCAGGTCCTAATTCTTCTTCAGTGTCTAGACCAAGGGTCTTCAAACTTGACAGCTTTAAGACTTGTGGATTTCAACTCCCAGAATTCCTCCTCTAGTCATGTTAGATCAGGAATTCTGGGAGTTTTAAGTCCACAAGTCTTAAATTTGCCAAGTTTGAAGATCCTTGGTCTAGAACAAACTTTAAATTGCCAGAATGAATCCACCTTCTTGGATTGTTGTTGGCCAAAAATAAGTCATTATTGGTACATGTCTTTGGCAGTAGCCGACATACCAGCAGATGAGCTCTCCACATTCACAGAAGCATGTTGTTATCTACTAAGGGCCTCCACTTGAGCATATGGTCCCTATGAGCCCATCATCTTCTTTACAAGTTGCAATAATTAAGAGACTTCTACTGCAAAAGGGAGGGAGGGAGGGAGGGAGAAAAGATGGGAGGGAGGGAGCGAGCGAGGGAGTAAGGAAGGAAGATTTCTGATGGTTCAGAAGAATAGTCAATGGGGAAGCCAGAAGGAAGCCAGAAGTTTTTCTCGTTCCCACTCTTTTCTTGCCAACTGTGATAATTCTGCTTCTCTGCTTAGAGAACAAAAGATCCCTGAAACAATGACCCAGTGAGGCATGAATTCCCTAGGATTCTAGGAAAGTTTCAATAATAAGAGACTTCCATCCCACTGCTTCCATCCCTTGGTTCATACTGCATGTATTCACCTTGGCTACTGTATTCACTGGAGTTGGTTCCTCCGGGAGGTGGTGGGATTGACGGGTAGGGAGATGGACCTGGACCGAGGGCAGCAATCATCTCCATCACATTTGGCATGATCATCTGGCTGGGACTCATGGTCTTGAACCTTTTGGAAGGAATGCCGTCTGGATCGTCCTTGATGTGAATGTCTGACTTGATTGGGACAGGTCTCCAGCTGCATGTGGGGTCAATTGTGACTTCTTCAAACTCAGAGCTGTGAAAACACAATACATTCAATAACACTGAGAGCTCTCAATAGAGCATATACATTTTAGATGCTACTAATGTCATTATCAGAGGGACATGGTGGCTCAGGGGCTAAGACGCTGCTGAGCTTCTCAATCAGACAGGCCGGCAGTTCGGCAGTTCGAATCCCTAGCGCCATGTAACAGAGTGAGCTCCCATTACTTGTCCCAACTTCTGCCAACCTAGCAGTTTGAAAGCAAGTAAAAAAAATGCAAGTAGAAAAATAGGGACTCCTTTGATTGCAATAAGCAATCAAATCATACTAGGAAACAAGTCAATAAAAATCATTAGGATACAAGTGGCAAAGTCATACAGTCATGAGTGGGAGGGGATGGGCAATAGGGAGTGACGAGAAGATTAATAGTAATAATAGTGCAGACTTTGTAAATAGTCTGTGAAAAAAATCTCATTAAAAGAGACACTTACTTTTGTATAGCGTTCAAAATGCCCCACATGTACTGATCTACCTCCAGGCCCTCCAGCAGAGCTGTTTTACTGGAAGAGAAAAAGGGGACACCCATTTATGTGCTTTTATTGCATTTGCCATGTGATATAAGTTTCTGAAGGGATATAAGTAAAGCAGCAAACCACTTCTATGCGTCTGCCATGGAAATAAGGAGAATTTCATTACTTGGGCATGTCCAGGTGAACACTAACAATCGAGTTGACTTGGGAGAATCGTTTCAAGTAGCATAGCCTATGTAGAACATAGGACATAGAAATCACAGGGCTGGAAGGGGCCTCAAAGGTCTTCTAGTCCAACCCCCTGCTCAAGGCAGGGATCCTTATACTATTCAGGTCACATGGTTGTCCTGTCTGTTTTTGAAAACCTCCAGGGATGGAGCACTCCCAATTCCAGGAGGCAAGCTTTTCCACTGGTTAATTGTTCTCACTGTCAGGAAATTTCTTCTTAGTTCTAAGTTGGATCTTTCTTGGATGCTCATCTACCCATTACGTCTTGTCCTGCCCTCACTGCTTTGGAGAATAAATCAACCCTCTCTTCCCTGTGACAGCCTCTCAAATATTGGAAGACAGTTATCATGTCCCTCTTAAATCTTCTCTTTGATAGGCGAGACATAGTTCCCTCAATCATACGATTTAGCTTCCAGACCCTTTATCATCATCATAAAAAAATAATAATAAAGGTCTACAGCAAAGTTTACTGATCACATTAAAAAATAATAATACTGTTAGGTTAACTGTGTTACATCCAGAGGTGGTATTCAGCCGGTTCTGTCCAGTTCTGGAGAACCAGTAGTGGAAATTTTGAGTAGTTCGGAGAACCAGCAAATCCCACTTCTGACTAGCCCCGCCCCCATCTCTTCTCTGCCTCCCATTGAGTCCCAGCTGATTGGCTGGCTCTTCTTTGGTTGCCCTGCACAGGAGAACGGAGCTGGAAAGCAGGTTAGTGGGGTGGGGAGCAGAGGTGGTATTCAGCCGGTTCTGACCAGTTCTGGAGAACCGGTAGCGGAAAATTTGAGTAGTTCGGAGAACCAGCAAATCCCACTTCTGACTAGCCCCGCCCCCATCTCTTCTCTGCCTCCCCTTGAGTCCCAGCTGATTGGCTGGCTCCTCTTTGGTTGCCCTGCAGAGGAGAACGAAGCTGGAAAGCAGGTTAGTAGGGTGGGGAGGGAATGGAGATGTTGCAATATCCTTTCCCTGCCACACCCACCAAGCCACGCCTATAGAAACGGTAGTAAACTTTTTTGAATCCCACCACTGGTTACATCTCTGGTTTCACTGGCGCAAAATGGAAGCATAACTTTGCATTCCTCTGGTTTTTTGTTGTGATAGTACCACAGTCTTTCATGTTACCACTCACTTGCATACGGGGCATCTCCAGGTGCCTCGTTCGCAGTTCAGCTGGAGGTAGGATTCCAGATCAAAACACTGTGGAAGAAAAAGCAGGGGAATCTTAATGAAATGATGGGTGCGGCTTGCAAAGCACGCCGACGATGCCGCCGCCAAGAAGACCCTCTCAATGGGTGGGAATAAAGAAGAGAAGCTGAGCCATCAAATGCACGCCAGGAAGAAAACAACAACAACAACAACAACAACCCATCAGGCTGGGATTCAAACCATGACACGAAAGTTGATCGTTTTAATCATTGAAAACACTAGGATTGAAAACAATTATTGAATTGAAAACAATATAGGATTGAAAACAATTATTAATTATTGAAAACACTAGTCCCCAACCTTTCTGGCTTTGCAGAGTGGTTGGACAGAGTGGGGGAAGAATAGTTCCATGCGAGTAGCAGGCGCGCACGAGCTCGCCTGTCGCTCGTGCATGGCCAGGTTCTGAATGGGCCACGGGCCAGGGCCAGGTTGCGGGTTGGGGGCCCCCGTAGTAGGATACAAAATCATAGAGGAGAAAGCTGTTCTCTCAAGCACATATCTGTTGAAAAATGTGTTCTAAGGTTTGGGATGGGAAACATAGGATATATCCTTAAAAAAAATAAAAATAAAAATTGCAATGCCGGCTAGAGAAGTCTTCCAATCGGGGTTGAGGGAATCAGCTCAAATACGCACAAGGAATACTGGCAGGTTTTGGGGGGGGATATGGGAGGAGAGTATTCCACGTTATGTGCACCTGGAACTCTTTGATTAGATTAGATGAACAGAGTTGGAAGGGATCTTGTAGGTCATCTAGTCCAGCTCGCCACCCAAGCAGGAGACCCGACTCCATTTCTTACAGGTGGCAGTCCAGTCTCTCCTTCAAAGCCTCCATTGATGAAGCTCCCACAACTTCCGAAGGCAACTTCTGTTTCATGGGCTGATTGTTCTCACTGGCAGAAAATGTCTCCTTATTTCCAGGTTGAATCTCTCCTTGATCAGTTTCCATCCATTATTCCTTGTCTGGACTGCAGGTGCTTTAACAGTGTCCAAAGCATCCCTCCCATCAAACAGTCCCACAGGAACTCAGGGAGGTTGAAGGTCAAGCAGAAGTGGAAAGAAAATCCACTTACTTCTAAGAGAAGTTGGGTGTAAAGTAACTAAAAGGCAGGGAAAGCTCAGTAGGGTTTTGAAGATGATTTTGGAGACAGTCATTTGAATGTCTTTTGGATACAAGGACTTCAGCTTTAGATTAATTAGCATTTTTGCAGTAGAAAGGCAGGCACAGCCTGGGAGGCGGAGTCAAGAGAGGAATCAGCTTGGAATCCTTATATCGCCACAAGCATTCCATGTCCATCCCCCTTTGAATTCTGTGAATTCTTATCCAGCGCCAATTTAGTGCTGACTGTTAGTTGACCAGATTCTTGTGCATAGGTGTGAGCAATATATCAGCTTAATGGGAACTTAATGAACGATCCTGATTCTTCATACCTGCAATGTCCTCCGACTCTTCCTCAGAGGCTGGCTTAAGGGCTGTTTCTGATCCAAAAAAATGCCCCCCAAATGGCTGAAAAACACCCTGAAAACAGTCCAAAAAACAGCCTGAAAATGGCCTCAAAAACAGGCCCAAAATGGGTGGGGCCGAAGCCAGCTAGTGGTGGGATTAGCCCCACCTGGCTGAATCCTACTTCTGCCTTTGAGGCGAGTGGCCGGGAGGCAGGGCTGGGTGTGACACCACTCACGCAGTCACATGACCAACCGGCCACGCCTACCCAGCCAAGAGAACCAGTTGTTAAGTTATTCCAATCCCACCACCGATTAGTACTATTGGTAGTTAATAATTAGCTGGATGACTGTACAAATTTGTCAAACAAATAAACACAACGTTGCACCCTGAACGGGACAGGAGAGGGCACTCACCTGTACATGCTTGCAATCGTGACCTCTTGCTGGAAGCTGGATCCGCCGGAATGTGATGGGACATTTGAGAGAGACTTTGATGGCTGTCTGCTCCACACCATCTTCCCCGTTGAGAGGTGCGTTGCCCGAAGAGGCAGCCACGCTGCTAAAATTTCTCTTGACTGTTGCAAAAAAAAAAAAGGGGGAGCGATAATAGAATTAATACTTAGGGGGAAAAGCCCTCACTTATTTTCTCTCCCCTGGTATAGTCGATAAAATGAGGAGAGTCCATGGCTTAGAAGTTAATATAACATATCTATCTAACATGTAAGTAGCCCGGGTTTGAATCCCAGAAGGGTATGGCTAACTGATGAGAGAGCTAAATATCTTGAAATAGATCTATACTAGTCTCCCTTTATTTCTTTTTCGGTAAGTATAAATTTAACACAAAAATAGTTTGTCGTGAAAGCAACTGCCTGCAAAGGCTCCTGGATTGGGGCTGAAAGGCAAAAGTGGAAGCAGGATGCTCTGTTCCACAGTTGGGTAGATCAGGTTGCCCTGATAAAAAACACATGCTTAAAACTGTTTTAACAGCAGGATACACATCCTTGGCTTGAGAGAAACTGTCATGCCCCTGTTGGAGTCTGAATCTGAGGAGGAAGATGAACAGCTGACAGGAAGCAGGATGTGGAGGAAACTGGGGAAGGGCGAAGTCTGGCTGGGCAGAGCAAGGGAGAGATAGAACAAGGGAGGGGAAGTTCAGAGGAAGACCCAGGCCCACCCCCTCTTCATCCTAGGGCACGCAGAGAGGAAAGGAGAAGGGAGCAAGGTGGGTTGTGTGGCTTACGGGGGAGGAAAGGGCCCTGATTCCCTTCATTAGCCACATTCAGGGAAGAGAGTTTAAAAGAGATGCAAGCTGAGAGCGGCAGCAGCTGGGAACAAATGTGAGTTTATCTTTTGTTGACTTTGTTATCTGCGTTCCTGACATCCTCCCAACTGGGTTGAATTACTGCCATTCCTTCATGTCTGGAATTCCTTCTCTTGCTCTGCTAGACTAATTACCCCATCTTGCCTTGATTGGACTTATAATAACGTTTTTGTTGACAATGTTTTGGACTTGATTCTCTGCAGCCAAAGGCTGTTCCTGAGAGTGTTTTTCTCCAGACCAGAAGGTAACCAGGACATTGGGGGTAAAGTTGGAGCTAATAAAGGGACTCCTGCTTATTCTTTGTCTGTATTGCCTTTGTGCCACGCCCCTTTGGGTCATCACAGAAACTGTCCCAGGACTGGATGGAGTTCACTGTCTGCCTCCCAGGCCAATCAACACAGAAGTTCTACTCACTTTTGGTGATACAATGTTCAGCTGGAAGCAGGCGTTTCTTTAATAGGCCCTGAAGAACAGAACGGACCGAAGGTCGGTGTACTAACTGCAAAACAAACAAATGGGACTGGGGGAAAGGGAAAATAAAAAATCAGTGGTCTATAGAGGACCCGTGGTTTAACTTTTCATTCTAGGCTCCAGATCAACTTTTATCCTGAATATTTTGCTGAAATTGGCTGGCAGATTCAAATGCTCAGTGAGGTAGCAAATTATATCATGCTGTGTTATATTAATTCCATAAAACCTGGATTCACGAGTCCAAATTGGAGCCCTTGATCCAATTCAGTTATTTGCATAAGAGTTCTGAATTAGGTGTTCTTGAAGTATGAACAATTGATCTGCACTTTTTTCCTAACTTTTTCCTGTAATCTTTAGTGGTATGTACCTAATTATCTGGTTGAATCCTTAACTCAGAATAGGTACAAGACACTTTGGCGTCCAAGACATAAAACCTGAAGAATATTAGATATTACCACAAAACGTAATACTAAATTAACCAATTAACCATTTTGGGCTCTCTAAAAGCCCCCCAGGATCTACCAAGGATAGTATTTGGCCTGAATCTTCCTACAGTTTCTGGAAAAAAAAACAGAATAACAGAGTTGGAAGGGACCTTGGAGGTCTTCTAGACCAACCTCCTTTTCAGGCAGGAAACCCTACACCATTTCAGACATGTAGCTGTCCAATCTCTTCTTGAAAGCCTCCAGTGATGGAGCAGTTACAACTTCTGGAGGCAAGTTGTTCCACTGATTAATTGCTCTCATTGTCAGGAAATTCCTCCTTAGTTCTAGGTTGCTTCTTTCCTTGACTAGTTTCCATCTGTTGCTTCTTGTCCTGCCTTCTGGTGCTTTGGAGAATAGCTTGACTCCCTCTTCTTTATATCTTAACAATTTCTGTTGAATCATTACTTAAAATAGAGCCCTGTGTCCTAGTCTGTGAGCATAACAGTGCATTTGTACATATGCACAGACAACACAGGAAAAAAAAAGGTTTTGCTGAGCTTAGCATAATGTTTCATGTACATATGTTTACAGACTGTTTCTCTAGACAGTCTATCATGGTATAGAAACTGAATTTGAATTTTTTTTTAAGCTAACCTGGTTTGGCCTTAGTAGAAATGGAACTTAAGAAACATTACAAGCTGTGAAACACTGGTGAAGAATCAGAGGTGGTGTTCGGCAGGTTCTGACCGGTTCTGGAGAACCGGTAGCGGAAATATTGAGTAGTTTGGAGAACTGGCCAATCCCACCCCTGACTGGCCCCACCCTCACCTATTCCCTGCCTCCCATTGTCCCACCTGATCAGCTGGGTCTCCTTTAGTTGCCCTGCACAGGAGAACAGAGCTGGAAAGCAGGTTAGTGGGGTGGGGAGGGAATGGGGAGTTTGCAGTATCCTTCCCCTGCCACACCCACCAAGCCATGCCCACCGAGCCACTCCATGCCCACAGAACCAGTAGTTAAAATTTTTGATTCCCACCACCGTAAAGAATACTAGGAATATGAAGTCTTGCTAGGATGTTTCCTTAATCTAAAGCTATTTCCAAACAGCCAAACCACAGAATTAACAGAGCCATTAGCTACTTACACAACAGCATGCCGTGACAGTGATTTGAATCGTGTTTCTTCCTGGCTGGCAAACGTGCTTGAGGTGCAGAGGTTTATGCGACGTTTTGTTGTCACCCCGTTCGATGGTGAGTGGAGTTGCGTTGACACTGACCTGGACCGATGCTGGCCAGTTCGTATTCATTTGCCGGTCTTCGTGGTGATAACATTTGAATTGTAACTCCAAGTCTGATCTGTCAGAGAAGACAGGTGTTTGCATCGCTATTAGCACCTGCCCGTTACATGCGTAAGGCAGAGCTGGAAGGGACTTTGAAGGTCTTCTAGTCCAGCCCCCTCCTCAAGCAAGAGACCCTAGACCATTCCAGACAAGTGACTGTCCAGTCTCTTCTTAAAAACCTCCAGTGAGGAAGCTCCAACAATTTCTGGTGGCAAACCGTTCCACTGGTTAATTGTCTAGCTTCAAAATGGGAGTGGGCTTCCCATCCACCGCTGACCCAAGAAAGAGCCTTCTGGCTCCCCTTTGGTTCGGCATCTTGGGTCATCCACCCCGCCCTGCCCCATTGCAATCCTACCTCCACATGAGGGTCTGATGGACGGTCGGCCGCAGGTGAAAGACATGATTGCTGACCGCCAGGTTGTGCTCCAACCGGAAGGGCTCTAAGACGACCCCGTCTCGCACGGGGAACGTCAGGCGCAGCTCGTCGTTATGGCTGGCTGGGATGAAAGAGGGGGAGAAAAGTTAATGGTGGACTTTGAATCAGGATGGAGCTGGAAGGGACCTTGGAGGTCTTCTAGTCCAGTCCCCTGCTCAAGCAGGAGAACCAGGGGTGGGATTCTGCTGGTTCGGACCAGTTCAGGGAAACTGGATGTTAAATTTACATCTGGTTCGCCGAACCGGTAGTTGAACCAACTGGCTGGCCCCACCCACCCCACCCTGCCCCTCCCAGGAGTCTCCAGGCAGCCCGTTTTGGATGCAGGTAAGTGCAGGAGGCTCTGGGAGGGTGAAAAACGGGACTTCCGACAGTCTGGAAACGGGACTGTTTCCAGCTTCCGGAGGGCCTCCGAACCCCAGGGGAGGTGGTTTTTGCCCTTCCAGAGGCCCGAGGGAAGCCTCTGGACCCTGGGGAAGGTGAAAAATGGCTCTCCCGGAAGTTCTGGTAGGCCACACCCACCATGGCTAAGTCCCTACCCAACATCTGGGCAGGGAACCGGTTGCTGGGGTTTTTGAATCCCACCCCTGAGGAGAACCTATACTATTTCAGATAAGTGACTATCTAGTCTCTTCTTGGAAGCCTCCAGTGATGGAGCACCCAGGGAAGCTGTTTCACTGGTTAATGGTCTTCACTGTTTGGAAGTTTCTCCTTACTTCCAGGTTGGGTCTCTCCTCAATTAGTTTCCAACCATTGCTTATTGTCCTGTCTTCAGGTTCTTTGGAAAATAAGCTGAGCCCTCCCTCTTCTTTGTGGCAGCTCCTCAAATACTGGACTGCTGCTATCATGTCCCCCTTAGTCCTTATTTTCTCTAGACTGACTATACCCAATTCCCGCAACCATTCTTCATATGTTTTCATGTCCAGCTCCAATGCCATTGTAACTTTGAACAGTCACTAAATGCCTTATTGTACGTTGATCTTTCTGTCTGATTCGCTCTCAGAAATCCCCCTCCCACTGACCTGCAACCCTTTGCACATTTCTGAAAGATGCTTCATCCACAGGCCATCACTCAAATGTTTCCACCAGACCAATATCCTTTGCACATGGGGGAAAGCAGGAATCAGGCAAAGGTTTCCCAGGTTTGGTACTTACTTGGAGGTGGTGGCAGAGCATTGATATTTGGCTTAATATCCGGTGGGAAAGGTGGCTTGACATCTTGATTAGGAGACAGGTAGGGAGGCATATTGCTGCCGGGAGTCATTGGTGGTGTAGGATTTCCTGGAACAGGTGAGTGAGGGTAATTTGCTACAGGAAGAGGCCTGGATGGCTGCAAAATGGCAGGTGCCGGTTGGAAAGAAAGAGAAAGAAAACAGAATTATCACGGTGGTCGTCGGGGACTTCTGGCCACAAATTCCCTGGGATAAAAGCATTTTTATGCTGTGGGGAGATTTATATTGAAATGTATTTTATTCCCTAAAAAAAAAAAAAAGGTAACCCTCGACTTACGACCAACAATGGAGCCCTATCACTGCTGTTGTTAGGTTAGCCAAACAGTTGTGACAGTGGTGGGATTCTACCGGTTCTCCCCAGTTCGAGCGAACTAGTAGTAAAAATGCTACAGTTCAGCCGAAGCAGTGTTTTTTTTTTTCCTCCCGACGATCAGCTGTTCCGACAATCAGCTGTGCTGGGATCCCCCCTTGCTGTCTTACTGCTTCGCCCAGGAGGCTTCCCTGAGGACCAGGAGGCAAAAAAGGGTCACGCCTTGTGTGTGTGTGTGCTGCGTGGCCCCCTCGTGGTCTGTTTTTTGCCTTCCTGGGCCTCAGGGAAGCCTCCTGTGAGCAAAATGCTCCCTAGGAGGCTCCCCTGAGGCCCAGGAAGCCAAAAAAATGAAGCGCAGAGGGGTTGCCGCACAAAAAAAAGCCACACCCATCCAGTCACATGGCCATACCCACCCAGCTACTCCCACCCAGCTACACCCATAGAATTGGTAGTAAAAAATATTTGCATCCCACCCCTGGGTTGTGAAGTGACTCCGGCTTCCCCGGAAGGTCGCAGAAAGGGATCAGGTGACCCCAGGGCACTACAACTGTCGTAAATGTCAGTGGGTTGCCGAGCATCCAGATTTTGATTACGCAATCATGGGGATGCTGAACTAGCAATAACAAAAGCCCTTAGACTTATATACCGCTTCACAAGTGCTTTTACAACCCTCTCTAAGCAGTTTACAGAGTCAGCATTATTGCCCCCAACAATCTGAGTCCTCATTTTACAAACCTTGGAAGGAGGGAAGGCTGAGTCAACCTAAGGAAGGAAGGAAGGAAGGAAGGAAGGAAGGAAGGAAGGAAGGAAGGAAGGAAGGAAGGAAGGAAGATAGCAATAGCACTTAGGCATGGCAGCCCCCATTAAAGCTTACCCAATGGCAAAAATGAACTGCCACGAATGAGTTAAAAAAATGAAGAGGAATGGTCCTCACCTTGTAATATTGCCCCATGTTAACGGCTGGGGCGGGATACTGCCCCGTGCTTTGCTGGTTTGGCATTCTCTGTGCTGGGTAGTTGGGCGACGTAAGGGGTCTTGGAGCATTGGGGGCAGGATACTGGCCAGGCTGGGATGGAAACTGATTATTTGGTCCATACTGCTGGTTTCCATAATTTGGCTGGTTGATAGAAAGAGACCAAAACAAACATGAACATGTATATGTGTATATATATATATACTTATGTCTGTTTGTCTGTCTGTCTGTCTGTCTGTCTGTCTGTCTGTCTATCTATCTATCTATCTATCTATCTATCTATCTATCTATCTATCT